TCCCTTCTATTCTATTTGAGTCTTTTTATTATGAAAAGGTGTCTTGTATTTTGTCAAATGCTTTTTCTGCTTCTATTGAGATCATGTGGGTCTTGTCCTTTATTTGCTAATAAAGGCTTATTTATCAATAACACTGTTGTATCCCATTGATTAGCTTTTTTTGTATGTTACACTAACCTTGCACTCTTGAGATAAATCTCAGTTGGTCACAGCGGATAATTCTTTTTCTGCTACAGGACTTCATTTGCTAATATTTTATTGAGGATGTTTATGTTTATATTCATAAAGGACATTGTTCTGTAGTTTACTTTTTTTTTAAAGATTTATTTATTTATACAAGCACTGGGTATAGTCAGAAGCGCGTGAGAAGGGTGAGAGAATTCACCAGAGCCAGAGCAGGGAACAGGACAGGCAGACTGACAAAGCACACTGCTGAGGGGAGCAGCGGGTGGCAGGAGAGGTCTGCGCACCATGTGGGACCCTCGACCGGTGGCCGGGGATCGAACTGGTGCTGCAGAGGCTGCGGGCAGCTTTGCAACCCAGCGCTCAACCGCTGCGCCACCAGGGGAGGCCCTGCAGTTTACTTTTTTGTGATGTCTTTGCCTGGTTTTGTTATTAGGGTAATACTGGTCTCACAGAGTGATTTGGAAAGTTCCCTCTTATTCTACTTGCCACATTCATTGTTTTTTGTTTTTTTTTTTATTTTGTAGAGTTCTTTTATCTTGTATTTTTTTTTTAATAGAGGCATGTTTATTTATTTATTTGTTTGTTTGTTTGTTTTTGCTTATACATGCACTGGGTACAGTCAGAAGCGCGGGAGGGTGAGAGAATTCACCAGAGCCAGAGCGGGGAGCAGAGCAGGCAGAAGGACCGAAGTACACTGCTGAGGGGAGCAGCGGGCGGCAGGAGAGGTCTGCGCGCCATGTGGGACCCTCCTCCAGTTGCCGGGGAGCAGCCGGGGATCGAACCGGCGCTGCAGAGGCCGCGGGCAGCTTCGCAACCCAGCGCTCAACCGCTGCGCCACCGGGGAGGCCCCCACATTCATTGTTAATGAAAGACTCTGCTCAGGTCATCCCTGATCTGAAATGTCTGTGCCTTGCCTCTCAGCACTCCCAGTCCTGCCCAGTATTTGGAGCCAGTTCAAAGACTCTTTACACCTGACCTTTCTTGACTGCTCTAGTTCCAGAGTGAGCTCACACTCCCTGGAGTCCTTCAGTTCTCACTGTGTTTATGGCTGGCATTTAGTATAAAACTCTGTAGTTGCTCAGGATGTAGTAAATGCTGGGTGTTAGAAACTGAAGCAGGACAGCTAGAACCCTAGTAAGTAGCAGAGCCTTAGCCAAGATGTCTGAAGGCTGCGAGCTATCTGAGCCTGGTGACCCAGGACCAGCAGGACAACTCGGGGCCATATGACCAGCTCCCAAGTAAGGCTGTAGCCTCCTTGAGGCAGAATAGTGGATGGTTAAGATGCACGCTGTATGGTTCAATACAGAGCAAGTCACTCTCTAGCATTAGTTTTCTCATCTTTGAAATGGAGATAACGATGTCAATCTCAGAGAGTTGTGGTAAATATTACGTGAGTTGACCTATACAAATCACTTTGTGTTAAGTTCAAAATGAGTGGTAGCTTTAATATATGCCATTGGATAATCTCTGGGGAAAAAAAAGGGTTTGTGGATCAAAGAATCTTGGGAATATTCCATAGTACATTCCCCTCTCTGGAGATTCCCAGGGCACATCAGCATAGTAAAAGCTTTGAACAGTCCTATGCTAAGGATCCTATATAATTTGTTTTAACCCAGAATTTCCCAAACCTATTTGCCAAGATGACCCTCCATACCCCCCCACCCTGTTTATTATTTATTTATTTATTTGTTTGTTTATACATGCACTGGGTACAGTCAGAAGCGCAGGAGGGTGAGAGAATTCACCAGAGCTCAACCGCTGCGCCACCGGGGAGGCCCACCCCCCACCCTGTTTAAATTAACATTTATTTAACACACTTTAGGAAACACAGTATTAGCTATATTTAACTAAACTTATCATGCTTCACTCTTTTGCTTTTCCTACAGATATGAATAATTTAAAAGCAGCCTAAGAAAAATAAAGGTTTCTAACCTAGGGAAAGAACACAATGATTTAAAAGTTCAAAGGAAATGAGAAATTCCAGGCAGAAGGGGCAGATAAATAATGCACTATTTTTGGCCATGGAGACACTTCTAGAATGACAGCTTCTTGGAGTTGAACAGCATGTTAAAGTTCAGCCCCTCTAAACCACCCCCCTCACTTCCACCAATGCACAAATTCCCCCCTCATCAGTTCTGAAGTCTACTGGCACATACCCAGAGATCCCTACCCCTCCAATGTTTTAGGCAGCTCTAATGATCAGAAAATTCTTCCTCACATTGGCTGAAGCCTGCCTCCTAAAACTTCTACCTAACATTATGGTAATGGAATTCTGAGATTTGCTTTTTGTGAGATCTATCCATTTTGGAGATAGCAAATAAATGGCACAGAAATTTTGTGAATCATGATACAATGTAAAGTAATGTGTCTATTAATTGAGAAATGAACTGAAAGTAGAATTGTTGGAAACAATATCTTCAATTTTTCCATCTCTAAGGTGGATAGTTAGAATTTCAGCAATACTATAAGCAAAGGATGGAATATTACTCTGTAGGATGAACTGTTTTGCAATTGTCAATTTATATGAAAGGGAATACATAGTTTAAATTACATCTAATTTTCTTGTATTTTTTAATTTTAAAAATATTTAGGATATTTTTAACTCATTATCCCAAGCTTAAGCTTATACTTCCAGCTTCCTCTACTATAAAAAACAAGTGTTAAATAGTGAAAACAGGGCCTCCCTGGTGGCACAAAGGGTTAAGCACCACACTATGATGTAATCCGCAGCCTCTGCAGCACGAATTTGATCCCTGGCCCGCTGGGGAGCAACCCACATGGCGAAGCAGACCTCTCCTGTCTGGCCCGCTGCTCCCCTCAGCAGTGTATTTCAGTCAATCTGCCTGTTCTGCTCCCCGCTCTGTCTCTGGTGAGTCCTGCCACCTCTGCATCTCTGGCCTGTACCCCAGCTCTTATATGCATAAATGGATAAATCTTTAAAAAAATTAGTGAAAACATAACATGTATCTAATAACTTCCTTTACTATAAAAAACATGTGTTAAATAGTGAAAATATAACATGTATCTAATAAGTGAAGGTTTATCAACAAGATTCAGTAACAAGAATGGGTGGCATTACCTATATTTTACAGAAATGTGCTGTGTGATCCAATACAGAATTTTCCAAAACTTTTGTAAAACTTAAAAACCTAAGGAAAACCCCAAGAGGTAAATGGAATAGAACTGACATGAGAAGAGAACTCCATTCTTACAGAGGTTCCTCTAAGAGGCCAACATAGAAACCAAGGACTTGGTAAAACCATAACCTACTAACCTACTTATAGGTACACCTTGGAAATATTGCAGGTTTAGTTCCAGACCACTGCAATGAAGCAAATATTACAATAAAGTGAGTTACACTTTTTTTTTAATTCTTGGTGCATATAAAAGTTATGTTTACATTATATTGCAGTTTATTAAATGTGCAGCGACACTGTATCTAAGAAATATTCATAATTTGAAAATACTTCAGTGTTCAAAAATATGAATCATCATGTAAGCCTATTGTGATTTGCAACCACTTTGTTGGTGGAAGGTCTTGTAAAAAACACAGTACCTGTCAAGCAGAATAAAACGAGGTATGCCTGTGTAGATAGAGGGGGCTGTGTTTCCACAGCACAATCTTTCTAAAGGAGAACCTTCCAGATTTGGCCTCACTTTGCATCAAACTGCTACTTGGACAGACTATAGTATCTGTGCATCATTCTGACATTGTGAGGCAAAATGTTTGGCATTACATTTTACAAGTGAAGAAGCTGAAGGAAAATAAAGACTGAGTCATACCGGACAATATCACAGGACTGACATTTCAACAATTGGGTGAATTCAGAGCTAGCTCTGCTTGCCTTTTGGGGAAATCATTTCCTTCAGTTAAATTCCAGTGGGATTTAAGAAAGCCAGTGGAAGACAGAGGTCTGCCGTAGAAAGGAGTCAGTGTCAGTGAGGACTAAACTGCAGTCAGTGGGCACAGGTGGCCAACACTGCACAGCACTCCCTGGTCTCAGTGGTGCACAGTTTGGGCCCAAACAGCACTATCTATGAGAACTTGCTGACTGACATATGTCAAGGTGGATGTTTTTGTCCTCATCCTGGAAACACAGTGAGAATACCACAGACTACATCCTCCAGTCCTTCAACATGTATTAGGGTGGATTATGCGGTGCCAGACATTCATTGGAGACATTTTCAGGGGCCTAATAATGAGACTGAATAAAACCTGGTCCTGGAACAGGCAATTAAGTGAGATAGACAGGCAAGCTAATCATTATTTTCCATAGAGAGACAAGTTCTTTGCTGGAGCTGGGTACCCTATGTTAGGGGAACACAGATGAGGGTAAGGGGAGGGCTTCTCAGAAGAGGGGGCTTCTAAGTTGTCAGAAGCAGAGTTTAATCATCTCTGACTCTAGCTCCCTGAGATCTTGAAGTGCCTGCATTGTAAGAAGGGGAAAGAGAGGTGGGGGGCAAGAGTATGATGGATAACCCCTTGTGCCTCAGCAGCTTCAAGACATGTGTAAAATCTAACCTATGACCACCCGTTCTCTTTGCCATGTAATGGGATGTGGGCTAACAGGAAACCTGTTGGTTTAGGAGGTCAGTACCACCAATGACAGGTGATCCCTGTGCTTTCCTGCCAAGTGAGGTCAGACTCATCTGCCAGCTTCCCGAGATGACGTCTCCACACAGACTGCACCCCAAGCCTTCCACCCCCCCAGAGATGGAACATCTGTGATTCCCCTCCTGCCTCATTTGGAAACTTCCTCCCCCCACCCTGGGACTCCGCCCAAGAGTTGGAAAAAAAAGTGTGAGTATATTACCTTAGATTGTCCTCTAGCGTCTCCTCGTCTGAAGAGAAGTTCCCATTGCTGACACTTTGGGGAGAATGATTCTTCCCTGCTGATGCCTCCTGGGACAATGAAGTGTCTTTCTTTTTCCGTTTGCCAAACAACTTCTTAAAAGGCTGGAATTTGCTTCCCTTCTTCTTGGCTGTGGATTGTAAGATAATGCAGTTTGACAGGGCTGTACCTCAGAGCCTAAGCGCAAATTACAACTGAGCTGCCTCTGACAGGGAGCCGGGGCAAAGTGCAGCCACCAAGCCCAAGCCCTGTGGCAGGAATCCAGGGTCGGCCCTGGTCTGCGCACAGCCAGGTGGAGATGAGTCAAGGGCCTGCGACGTCTTCTGTCACCCAAGCTCCCAAGAAACACCTGAGGATTATACCAAGGGGGTTCCGGGCTTCATGATATTCAGCACAGCACCCCCTGGCATGTGCCACACAAAGGCGGGGCCTGCTTTCTTTAACAAAGCAGATGGAACACACCTCTTTCCAAAGAGGAAACTGAGAAAAATACGTTAAGTCAGACAGACATTTAAAAAATGTAAATACATGTGTGTGTATGTGTGTTTATATGTTTATATGTGTGTACATATGTGCATGATTATATATGTTTTATATATATAATATTATATATATTATAGTAGTAACCATACATATATAATGTTATAGTAGTAACCATATATATAAATATATATATATATGACCGGACAGTATCACACAATATCACATATATATATATATATATATTTATAGATATATAAAATCTCTTCGAGAATCACTTTCAGGCTTTGTTAGATGGTAACTGCTAAGTCTTGGCATAAGTGTGCCCTCAGCCCCTTCGAGCCCATATATGTTCAGTTTCTTTCTCTTGTTACCTTTTAAAATCTATTATAAAGAGTCCCCAAGAAGTTGCTATGAACATCTTTCTATATATTACTTCATGCAGTCAGGCTCTATGTTGGCTGACAGCATTTCCCACATGCATGGTAAGTAATACCCTTCCATTCTGCTGCTTCACAGACATCACTCCACCCCCACCTCAAAAAGGAAGTGTAAATCACCCCAAACCAGAAGGATCATCTTCTCAGATCTTTTCTTTAAGAAACTTAAAGAGTTCCTTATCCAGTTCTCAATCTTCTTTTTTTAATTATTTAACTCTTCCATGCATCATAGTTAAGAGTTCTTAGCTGTTCTAAGAACTGTACAAATATTAACCCAGGTAATCCTCACAACAGCCCTACGGCAGATACTATTAAATCCCCATTTGATAGATGAGGAACTGGAAGCACAGAGGGATGAAATCACTTGTCTATCACAGGAAACATCTTCAAAGCTGGAATCAAGAGCTTTGCAAGCAAAGAAATCTGAAAACTCACAGTGTGTGCAAAAACTGCACAAATACACAGGCAGGAGCCTCCAGTCGGCCTCACAGCCCCCAGACCTCTGTGGGCTGGAATCTGCATCGAGATCTGGGCATAAAAGGGATGTCAGTGATGTTCAGATGATTCTACTCATTTCCCGTGGTCACCTTCAGTTTTGGCCTTACAGAGAGTTCATAGAAAATGTGAAGTGAGGAAGAAGTGTGTTAAACCATGTTGCCCCAAGCACTGGCATAATACAGAGAAGAAGCAAACAGAATAATCACCAACTACAAGGTGACAGTCTGGGATTCTTAGTATGGGTGCAAGCCGACCTTCAAACTTTGGCAGTCCTCGAAACCACCTTTTATTATATATCACATTTAAAAAGGAAGGAAAGCTGTAACATTTCAGATGTCTCCCACACAGGAGGCACTGTGTCAGTAAGGATGTAGCCCCCCCAAAAGGATTAAATTACTTTCACTTCTGCATTATTTAAAAGGAGAGTGCAAAACAAATGAGATCCTATCATTTAAATACGGCGAAAGCACAAGAAAAGTGGAAGGTTTGATTTCAGAATGTTCGGATGTTTTCAGCGGTTATTTATTCAGGAGTGAATACAGAGTGGAGATATGCATGACACCTACTATTAGTTCCAGTGAGGAAAACCTCCATTGGATAATTAAACGAAATGATAACTAGTGTTTGAAGATCGTCAAAGAACATTAGACACACAGTTAAAAGAACTGACCATCCATAAAACAAATCAATTAAAAATTAAATTTTAAAAATTCTGTAAGGTGCCACAGGGATCATTACATTATCATATTATTGATCTCTGGCACTGTCTGATGAAATAAGTGAGTACTTTATGACTGTCTGGTGTTGACAGTATGTGCATGACAAACGACACCTGTTTCCTACGTTTGGTGGCATCATACACAGTAAACAGTCAAAGAAGAGTTTATGTTAATTTCACTTATTTCTGAAGTAGAATTCTTTCATTTTCTTTTTATATCAGTTGCCTTTTTCTCACTGCAGCCATATCTAACTCTAAATTCTCCAATCAGAAATTTTTTAGTAACCATAGCAAAATTCTAAAAATATCAGTTATGGCATTATTACCCGCAGCCTGGGCCCACAGTTCTAGTTTTGTAAGCTAAGTAGAGAAGTTCAGATGATAGAATTTATGGAAAGGGGAAGAAAATCATCATGTGTATGAAGTTAGGTGAACGTGGAGGTGTTCAGCTGAACTGGGCCAAGGGAGATAACTATAATTAAATTAGTTTCTTGAAAAAAATGTTTGAACAAACTTATGTATTTAATTAAGGTTAGACTGGGCTAGTGAAGAAGACTGATGAGGTCCTTTGCATTATATTACTTCAGTGTCCAGCTTATGGGCAGCCATCATTACATATTTGCTGCACTGGCCATATTGTTGGAGAAGACAGAAAACAAACAGAACCTGGGTGGAGCTGAATACAAACACAAGGATGAGCCAAAGAAGGTGCCAGGATGTGGATGCCTTAGCTCTGAGAAGTGGTCGGCTTCATGCAGGATGGCCTCTGTCAGGGGTCTGTTGAACAGGCCTGCTTGGGAACTTGAGGACTGCTGGTGAACCCGGCATGCTAGTCCTCTGTGCTGCATGTGATGTGGGCAAACACCTAGATGAGCACACACATCATTCTGGAAGATGTCTCAAAGTCCAGAAGTCAGATAGGGCACGCCCCGCAAATTGTTGGGAAAAGCTGTCTCAGTGATTGTAAGGAAGCTAAGAGAACGGTTAAACCTACCAGAACTCTATCCAGCGACCAAGTCCTCTTACTATGAGATAAAAGGGATTCTAAGACCTAAGAAAACCAGTCTCTCTTGGGAGGAAGAGTCAGGACATAAAAGCTTATAAGTCTGCTCCAAAATCTAAGTATTTGGTGATATCTCAGTTACAAAAAGTAATTTCCCCTCCCTCATTTTCAAAGTTAATATACATGTTGCCTATCAGAAATCTCTCTAAATTTTAAATAAAATTCCAACAATTTTTATGATAATCTTATTATTGATGGTGGCAATTAAATAGTTTTCTAGGCTTAACTCTATGCAAAAACTCAGTAACTACATTAAATCCCACCCCACATTTAGACAGCAAACTGACTAAGCAACATTAACAGAAAATGAAAATTTGTAAATCAGAGAAGGCATTCACTCCTAAATTAGGCAACTTTATTCTCAAAGTGTGGAACAAGATCTCTCACGCCAAAAAAAGTAAGTACCTACATTTTATGAAACATTTTGCAATTCTATGCCACAACAACCATTATGAAAACCTGAGCTTGTGTCTATAAAATATCCATCAAATGAACCATTCTATGATCCATTTATGACTGGGGGGCTGAATTAACAGTCTGCCTCTACAGAATCAACTCCATCAAGTGCATGATCATCCCCAGAAGCCACTTTCTTGACAAACAACACCAACTGTTATAGCGACTACTTCTGTGCAGATGGAGCCTCAAGGATGAAAGCAATTTTAACACTGTAGGAAAAGCACTCCTGCAATGCTAACGTGAACTCTTCCAAAATACAACTACCATAGAGAAGGACTGTAGTTTAGCAAAGTATTCTCCAACACTACAGTATTTAAGATGCTGTATTTACAAAGCAAATTTACTTTTTGTTGGGTGGTTGGAGAAGGCAGAAACATAACTACTGCTAAATTTGATTTTTGTACCTGCTGAGGTCACAAAGCTAGTCAGGGGGTAAGTGTGTGGGCCTCAGAGACAAAGTATTGGCCCCAAATCCTGCCATCTATTACCAGCTATGAATTATCTGTTTGCCAGTTTCTTTGAAAATTTACCATCATAAAGTCTAAGAGTGAATTTATAGAGAAAAGGGAGTGGAAACCACATTTTCTTAATATTTCAGTATTTTACTGTTGTAACGTTTCACATGGGAAAACCTACATGTGCATATATACTGCTTCAGGGATCACAGTAATTTTCATTCCTTAAGTACCGAATTAATTTATTTTCATCAGCCAACAACTACTCTAGGGATTTGGATTTTTTTTTCATTTAAAAAAGTGCTCATTATCCATTATTTCATGGATATAATTACACACCATTTGATGACTGCATCATAATTGCTAGTTTATATAGATGATTCTAAAAATTAAAAATCACTGGGCAAGACAAGCATATCAGATTTATTTTCCATTTGTCATAAGGATGCAATTCTTACATTTTCATTTGTAAATATAAAATACTAAAAGCAGACAAATTCTCTGTGTTGGATTTATATGGTCCACTTCCAAATGGGAAACTGAATTTCTGATCATAGAGTTCATTTTAAGCTTCACAGATGTCTTAGTCTGGGATTTCTCAGAAGGTGATCTATGGATTAGCTCCAAGTTGTTAATCAAAGACCAGCACACTTGAGAATCCAGGTAAACAGAGCAAAATGGTTTTCATCACATTGATTTTAAAATTTCTATTTCCCACCCCCACTGGTCTTCCTTCGAATCCCCTTTTACATAAACTTCACAATTCACAAGAGAAATAAAAAAAAAAAAATACTTAGAAATAGTAGCAGAGGCAGATATGATTTTAATGTGAAACCTCAATGTTTGGCCACATTTCTCCCACATACTAGAAGATGTGTGGTGTGTGGGTGGTGGTTCTTTTCACTGCCAGTTTCTGCCACTTGAGTTTCAGAGGGTGCTAACTTTGTGTGGAAAATACTGGCTGGGAAAATCGCCTGCTTCTTTGCCCTATCGGTTTAGTATTGTAGCAAAAACCTCAACAAGGGATACCTGAACACAAAGGTTGAACATGTTGAATTCACTCCAACACACAGTTACTGAACAACTGACACATGTAGGGTCAGTGCAGGGTCTGGTTGGCAGCACTGATGGATGAAACAAGTTCAGACACAGCTGAGAGGCTGCGGGGTCAGATATAATTAGAGAGAGAGAACCAGTAAGAAGTGTGTGTGCATGTTTGCCTGTGTGCACATGTGTACACCGTATACCTGTTACGATCACTAAGAGATTTAGTGCAAGGAATTGGCTTATGTTAGGTGGGGGCTGGCTAAGAAGTCTGAATCCCATAGGCAAGTCCTCAGGAAGAGCGGGCACCTGCTCAAAGGTGGAATATCCTCACTCAGGGAAGCCTCAGCCCTGTTTTAAGACTTTTCCACATACCAAATCAGATCCACCCAGATTATCTCAAAGTCAACTGATTATGAATGTTTTCTTTTTCTTCTTCTTCTTCTTTTTTTTTTTAAAGATTTATTTATTTATTTACACAAGCACTGGGTATAGTCAGAAGCGCAGGAGGGTGAGAGAATTCACCAAAGCCAGAGCGGGGAATGGAACAGGCAGACTTGACACTGCTGAGGGGAGCAGCGGGTGGCAGGAGAGGTCTGCGCGCCATGTGGGACCCTCGCCCGGCGGCCGGGGATTGAACTGACACTGCAGAGGCTACAGGCAGCTTCGCAGCCCAGCGCTCAACCGCTGCACCACCAGGGGATGCCCTGAATGTTAGTATTACAACTGCAAAATACCTTCACAATGACAGCTCACTTAAATAATCTTTATTTTTGATTAAATAATTGGAGACTGTCACCTTGCCATGGTGACACATCAAAATGATCATTGACACGCCATCCTTTATCTTCTTGGCACCCATTCACATCCATCACATTCACATCCACATCACTCAAACCATATGTAACCCCCCCCAAATAAAGTCAATAACAAAGTCGTACTTCCACTGACATGACAGAAATATCCCACGCATATCTGAAAATACTCTAAACTGTTACCCAGAGTGGATAGAAACAAAGTCTTTGGGTAATGTGCCCATTTCTTCTGTAACTTACACACTGCTATATAAATTAACTATTATCAGCACATCTTATGTTAGATGATTAAAAATAGAACAGAGAAAACAACAAAAATTGATTATAAATTGATTACATATATATATATATATATATATATATATATATACATACAAACATTCATAACAAAATAAGGAAGAAGGGCACATAACTATTAGAGTCCTTTTTTTTTTTTTTTTTTGCAACTGCCTCCTGGTCACTTGGTCATAACTGGTCTTAAACCATCTTCTCCTGCACCTACTGCACATTCCTTTTGCCCTCAGCAAGGACCTCAGCTGCCTGTGGTTCTCTGCCTGATGAGGTGACCCAAAGCTGCATTCCTGAGGAACCTGGACCATAAACTGTTTTGAATTGACTTGTTGTAATTTTCTACTACCCTACAGGACACCGAGACTATAAGAGGTTCTAAGGGAGCTCTTATATCCCAGACACACTCTTCCTTACCACCATAGTATGGTAGCAGCCCAATTTCCCCTGGTAATCAGGATCAGTCACTTCAGCCAATACAGTTAACTCCTTCTTTGCCTGTTGACTGAGAGGCAATGAAGACCCCAAAGTGATCAGGAGAGAGTCTCAATTACCAATCATTTCAACAGAATCACTATTGTATCTCCTGATGGGAGCATTCCTCCCACTGGAAGGAAGAACTTTGGATCAGCAGAACCTCATGTCAAAGCAAGCAAGCATTCACCTGATGCATGACCAGGGGTAATAATAGCAAGTGAGCTACTTCTATTTCACCCCTTGATTCCTGGACTCATGTAGCCTGGCTGTGGAAGAAACAACAGCTTGGATTCTGGCTTAGAGCACAGACTGTACCTGAAGGACAATACCCCAACTCCACAAACTATTGGACCTAACTGGCACTGTAGAAGCCTTCAGAGTCTTTTAAAGACCATTCCGTCATTCTGTCAAGCCAGCTGCTTCAGTATGATAGGGGGTCGGGAGAAGAGTACAAGACGAATGACTTCCATAAGCATGGGCCTATCCAGTTCCTTGATCAGAGGTGATGCTGTGAGACACAGTTACAGTGGATAAGGCATTCTGTAAGTCCATGAATGATAGTTTTGTCAGAAGCACTGCAGGCAGGGGCTTCCCTGGTGGCACAAGGGGTTAAGACGCAGCACTATGAAGCTATCTTCAGCTACTGCAGCACCAGTTCGATCCCCGGCCAGGGAGGTGACCCACATGGCACAGCAGACCTCTCCTGATTCACCCGCTGCTCCCCTCAGCAGTGTATTTCAGTCAATCCACCTGTTCTGTTCCCCACTCTGTCTCTGGTGGGTCCTCTCACCCCTCCACACTTCTGGCCTGTACCCCAGTTCTTGTATGCATAAATAAATAAATCTAAAAAAAAAAAGCAGCACTGCAGGCCGAGAAGGTCCCAGGACTGTTTGTTCCTACCCATAAAGCATGACAAGGGTGGCTAGGGGAGGGGTTGTCAGGTTGTCAGAATGAGCCATATTCTATCTATCTGATTATTAAAATCATCCTCAACCTTTGGTGAGCATGCATGTGAGGCATACATCTTAAAGTCCTTTGCCACTTTGGAGAGGTCTATCCATAAACCTCTTTCCCAGATCTTTGTCACCAATTTCCCAATCATGTTTCTTCCAAGTCCTTGACCATCCAATTAAACCACTGGCCATAAACTGTGAATTGTTATAGACTTGCGCCACTCCTTTCCCTTCAAACAAAATGAACCACCAGATGCACCGACTGAAGGTCTGCCCATGGGGAGGATTTCCCTTCCCCACTTCCTTCAGGACTATCCTGCAATGGGGCTATACATGACAGATATTGAGTGGTGCCTTAATATTGTGCAAAACCATCCACCAGTTTGGCCCACATTTTCTCTTCCTCATTCAACTAGTCCTAGGAATCTCTGCATGTGGCCACAGGTAGAGGATGGGAACAAGAAAGTAAGTGCAGCAAAGGTGAGGACCATGGTGTTTGGGCACCTTCTTCACATAACTTACTTATACATTCAGGGACTGCCCCACTTGATTTCATATATTGCACTTCCTTTTGATAATGAAGTGCTGCTTTGCACACCCAACTTTATGGCTTAGTGGGCTGGGCAACACCCAGTTTATGGTAGGTAGTTCAGGTCATATGGTAACTGGGTGGCCCATGGTTAAGCATTCAGTCTCTACTAACATCCATTAGCAAGTCAAAAGCTGTTTCTCCAAAGGAGAGAATTTATCTGCCGAGGTTGGCAAGGATTTGCTCCAAAGTCCTAAGGGAGTACCCCCTAGAGGGGCTGCCAGACATTCCAGACAACACTCCCATCTGCTACTGACAACCCAAGCACCCCTCGATCTGCTGGATCACATGGTCCAAACAGCAGCTCACCAGTATGGGCCTGAACTTGCTGCAGAACCTTTTTTTGTTTGGGTGAATTGGTGACCCCAATGGGGCCTCCAAAATACAAAGAGACCCACTAGGTGCTGTGTCTCTCTTCTGGTGGTAGAAAAAGCCAGATTCAACAGCCCATCTTTCACCTTAAAGGCATACGGCTACATGCTCCAACCCACTGGGCCCCTAGAAATTGTACTCATGTGACAGGCCCCCAAATCTTAGTGGGATTAACTGCCCATCCTCTGGCAGGAAAGTGTCTCACCTGTATGTCTAGAGTAATGACTGCTTTCCACTCTACACCTCCAAACATGCCCGTAAGTTTGTAGCCTCTGTGATATCACCACGTGTCACTGATTTCTTTTAAAAAACAAGCTGGCTGATGTTTAAGATTCAGTGGTTCAGTCTGGCATTCTTGCAGGCTTGAATTGTCAACATGAGACTGTCTTTACCTTGGAAGCTTCACTAAATTGAGAGCAGATGATAAACCAGAAACAAGCCCTGGAGACTTTCATACTTCCTGAGGTTTCCTGATTAGAGGACACTGAGTAACTTTTGTGGCTATACCTGGTCTAACTGTAAACAAGCTCAGTGGTTAAGATAGCTGGAGGTCATGAGGAAAAACTGTCATCATTGCTGACCTCATAAAACATAAATAATTATTTACAGATTTCACAATGATTTGACTTCTTTAAAACCTGGGGCAGATGCGATTTTAGTTCCCACTGGATTAAAAAGTGATTTCAGGGTCATATTCTCAAACTGTGCCTGAGTATATGAAAGTTCTTGGACGTGTAGGACAGTACTACACATGTAAGCCACTGGTTCTACTCTGTGGGCAACCGTTTGTCATAAATGGGGCAAGAATTCTCAAGGGGACTGATGGGAAGTGAACCAAGGTCAAAGTGACACTACTGTGTCTTAGACCCACCAGGCAAAGTGCTTGTTGCTCCACTAGTGGATGAAATAGACACAGGTGGCAGTGGAATGAAACCATCAGTGTTCAGGTGATCAAGGAAAGGAAAACTCCCCTAGTGCCCTGTGCTCAGCTATGGGTAGAGAGCTACACTTATGTCACTTCTGAGAATAGAACAAATACATTGTTCCAAAAGATTTTCAAATGAAATTCTATAGCCTGGTCTCGGATTTTTAGATTGTGTCAGGCAGACCTGTCAGACTATTCTCCCTTGATCTGAACCCTCTTCTTGTGAACTGAAAAGTTTATTTAGGCTCCTTACTCAGTTCTCATTGGAGAGCACTAAGCGTGGATGAAGCAGGTCTTGAAGAATCACTCTCATACCAGATTTCTCATTCCCAGACTAACTCCTGGACAATAGCTCAGCCATTAACAGAGGCCTTTGGCACTGTCCTATTCTAGAGAGAAATAAAAAGACAAAACCGCCACTTGTTTGTAGAACTTTGCTATCACTTTTGTGCACCAGACATTGGTGGAACATATAACTTCCACTTCTGAAATTCTATGGGTCACTGATTTAAGTTCCCACCAGTATCTTGGAGGTGTTACCTCTGACTAGTAACCACAGGATTTGTGTGATATGGAAGAGGAGGTGGGAGGGCCAAAACTGTCTTCTGTCTTTTTATGGGTGGGAACCAGTATTGTGAGGTCATCAAGGTTCTGTGGTGACAAGGATCTTTGAAATGCATACGTCTGCCATACAACTCACTGTCCAAAGTCCTCAGAGTGTCCTAGAAGCCCCACGACCACATCAGGAAACCTCATAAAGTCTACTCTCAGAAAGTTTGCTCCCAAACCATAAAAATCATGGTCTGACAGACAATTACAAATCAGAGGCAGCTGGCAGGGGGTGGAGGAGGGAGCGGGATCAGAAGGAAGGAGGGAGGAACACAGGGGACTGTGGTGATGGTGCACGGGTGCATTGGTGAAGGAAATTCTTTGGGGACTACACCTGAGGAGGGGGCCAATAGTGTTTAAAAATTAACAATGATGTAAAAACATATTTTTTAATTTTTTTTAAAATTTAAAAAATAAAGAATATTGAGCTGTAACTGAAACCTACCACATACCATATATCCTATAAGAATAAATTTGAAGGTGATGACAAGAGGTTAAAAAAAAAAAAATCACGGTTTGAATTTTGTTTCTTAAATGCAGCAATGCTAATGGAAACCAGTGCGACAGCCCTAGACACTGAGTTCCCAATGCCCCGTGACCCTACTTTCAGGTCGGACTGAGGTGAGACTCAGTGAAGTTTTCTGAGAAAAGCGACAAGTGTGTGAGCCTCAAATATAGGCAAAACATGGGCACCTGTCATCAGACACACTTCTAAGATATCAGCGATTACAACAGCTATCTAGGGTTCCTTGTAAATCCTGAAGGGCAAGGTCAGATGGGCTTCAGACTTACACGTCCAGAATACAAATGGTGATGGTTTTAGTGACAGACCAACTCTACTCCAATATATCCATATTTTGCTAACCCTACAATTGCCTTTCTATTTTTCTTGGTATCTTGTACATTCAGAAACAGATGCCCTGCCTGGACTTTTGTTTCACTCAATAATCCTACAACTCTATATGCCATGCACTAAGCTCAACCCATCTCTAGAGAAGCTAGCACAGGTCAGCACTACCTCTGCAAGAGTCCTGTTTCCTTTGCATTCAAGTGGATTTGGGACTATGACCAGTCAAGTAATATTTATTGCGCTCCTACTGTGTGCAAAACATTGATCTAACAGTGGCATATTATAGTTACTCTTGAGTACCCGATGACAGTCAACACTCAAAACTTAGGAGGAAAATAGGTTATTTTTCAAAGTTTTCAAAATTTTTGGTCTTCTATCAGAAAAAGCTGGGGATTTATTAGGTGGAAAAAAAACCCTAGTAACAGTTGATATGGCTCTCTCTAGCTGAGGGTGCAGAGTTTGGTGTGACGATGGTGTGTGTGTACTGGGGGTGAGCTGGAAAGAGGGTGTTAAGAATTCCTTCAAGGGCATATCAGACTAACAGGAAACCTAGGGTCAGTGTCCTTCAAATAGTGAGCGACAGACCGTTTAGTGAACCCTGCAATCAACTGAGTGGTTTTTAACCAAAAGCCCTTTCCAAACTAAGTAGAAAAAGAGATTGGGATACTTATGACATGGTATTATCTCCAGAAATTTTTGTTTCTAGTTTACATGTATGTGTACAAGTATGCACAACTTCATACACACACATGTTCTGATATAGAATTCTCATGGTAAATCTACTAAAAATATCTGATAAACACTAATCTGGAAAAATCACTTCTCCCATTAGGCACTAAAGCAGGAATCAACAACTACTCATTGACACAAGCAAGTGTATATGTGCAGTCACTTTGACTATATGAAGACGAGAAAGCATTGTGCGCAAAGCAAGCTGGGTGCTGTCAGAGTGGCTACATAGGCTGACCCCGCCAGGGCCTGAGTGGACATGCATACAGCTGAAATCTCTACTTTGGCTTTGATCATTTTGTTTTGTTTTTAAAGATTTTATTTATTTATTGTTGTGTAGAAGTGCTGCGGTATAGGCCAGAAGTACAGGGGGTGAGAGGATTCACCAGAGACAGAGTGGGGAAAAGAGCAGGTGGATTGACTGAAACATGCTGCTAAGGGGAGTAGTGGGTGAGACAGGAGAGGTCTGCTGGGCTATTTCTGGGTTAGCTCCCTGGCTGGGGATTGAACTCAGGCCAAAGTGGTGATAGCTCTGAGACTTAACCTCTAGGCCACCAGGGAGACCCTGGCTTTGATAATTTTACTTCTCAAGTACCAAAATCCTATTCTCAAAGTTAAGCAAAATGTCCACTTCTTAATTAAAGAAGGAAGAAAGCTTTGTTAAACTTGAGCCCTATGGTTATTGAACTTGGTTTGGGGCCTCAATTTAAAACTCACAATTTAGGTCATAACTTCTTTTTTTTTTTTTTTTATAGAGGCATGTTTTATTTATTTATTTATTTGATGGTTTGTTTATACATGCACTGGGTACAGTCAGAAGCGCGGGAGGGTGAGAGAATTCACCAGAGCCAGAGCGGGGAGCAGAGCAGGCAGAAGGACCGAAGTACACTGCTGAGGGGAGCAGCGGGCCGCAGGAGAGGTCTGCGCGCCATGTGGGACCCTCCTCCAGTGGCCGGGGAGCAGCCGGGGATCGAACCGGCGCCGCAGAGGCCGCGGGCAGCTTCGCAACCCAGTGCTCAACCGCTGCACCACCGGGGAGGCCCCTAGGTCATAACTTCTAAAAGATATTATGCTTTACCTTTTATGGACATTTGACTTCAATATGAAATTCGTTCAATATAAAATGTCATGCAGGAAATCAAATCTGCACACCCTGGATTCATTTCCACTGAATCGTATCACTTGGTATTTCTCAAGTGCCCTTCACATTATTTCGAGAAGTTGGGAGTGACAGTAAAGTCATCGCTTGCTTTCTGTGTCAGAGACCAGAGAAATGAAGCTGGCAGGACAAGATTAGATGATAAGTCAGCAAGGAAACCAGCTCTCTGAACTCTGAGCCTGATCTCCAGCCAAAGTGGTCAGAGACAGACTGTTGAAGAAAACTCTAAGTCTCTCCATTACTGTTTCAGGGATTCCTTCCCTAGAAAAGCATCCAAAGGATGTGTGAAGTACCAGGGTATGAGGCAAAGGACTGAAAGCAGTCATTCCGGAAGCTAAGGGAAAGTGTTGTATTATGTTCCTTCACACATCATGTGGAAAATTTTAGAACTTTCAACTAACCTCCAAAAGCTTTACAGGATGAAGAAATGAAAGGATTTAAGGACTCTTACCACCCATTCATTAATGATAAATTCCCTGTGGTTACTCAGACACAGAGACAGTTCAAAATATGTTTACATTTATTTATTTATCTTTAAAGATTTTATTTTTATTTATTTTATACAAGAACCGGGGTACAGACCAGATGTGCAGGAGGGTGAGAGGATTCACCAGAGACAGAGCGGGGAACAGAACAGGCAGATGAAATACACTACTGAGGAGAGCAGCAGGCGTGACAGGACCCTCGCTGGCCGGCTGGAATCGAACCAGTGCTGCAGAGCCTGTGGACAGCTTCACAGCGTAGTGCTCAACTGTCTGCGCCACCAGGGGAGGCCCAAAATATGTTTGCATTTAAATGAAGCTGGTAGGGCCTCCCTGGTGGCACAAGGGGTTGGGCACCACACTGTGAGGCAAATCCACAGCCTCTGTAGCATGAATTCGATCCCCAGCTGGCCAGGGAGCAACCCACATGGCACAGCAGACCTCTTCTGACTCGCCCGCCCACTGCTCCCTTCAGCAGTGTGTTTCAGTCAGTCTGCCTGTTCTGTTTCCCACTCTGTCTCTGGTGAATCCTCTTACCTCCCAGACCTCTGGCCTGTACCCCAGCTCTTGTATGCATAAATAAATAAATCTTAAAAAAAAAAAGTTTAAAAAAAATAAATGAAGCTGGTAGCAGAGATGGCAAATATGATTTTTCCCACAAATAATACCACTAGTAAGTATTATTAAATTTTGGCTATATGCCAAGATTAAAGTTTTATACATAATATCTCGCAACCCCTCTGTAAGTTACTATTTTCCACATTTATGGATGAGGAAATGGAGGCTCAGAGAGGTGAAAAGATTTGCCTGGGGTTACAGGCCAGTTAATTGTCAGCGCTGAGTCAGTCTCAATGCAAATACCATGCTCTCCATCATTTTGCTGTATTCTGAAAGGGTCTTAATGATACCAGTCAACTGATTGCTTACTCTTATGTGAGCCCTAGAAGCTCTGGAATTTGAGTCTCAATTAATTTACTGATAAGCTATGAGCCTTTGGGCAAGTTTCATAATCTCTGTTCTCTTGTCCATAATATTGGGACAATCACAATACATTTGGAACTGACATTTAATGATTAAAAACTGCTAATAAAAGCATTTAGCAGAATGCCCAGGATATAGTAAACACTCAAAAACATTAGCTATTTGAAAGGTCGATGCTGGAGGCC